GTTAGCAGCTCTCAACCTTATTAATACAGGAAAGGGTTTCAGGAAGAGAGTGCAATGTAGCACACCTTGACACATGGAATGAGCTGATTTGAGGTGAGTCGGGAAGAAGCGAAGAGTCCCTGACCCAAGCATGGGTGCTGGCAGGTCTTTTACATGTAGGGACAAAACAATCTGTTAAACGACTTCTTTTTGTCTCCTAGGAATCAGACCACGTGGCCAGGGCTGAGCACTTGGGCATAGATTAGCAAAATGAAAATTTCAGGCATCCGAGATCATCTGTAGACTTAGTAAGGGCCTTAAGACACGATAGAACCAACTGATGGCATAATGGTTACATCGCGGGACTCCCATGTAGTGACTGCAGTTCAAATCCTGGACCTGGTGGCTTAAAACTCATGCAGCCATGTGTGCATGGGTACCCAAGATCCTGAGTGGAGGATGGAGGAGAAGGGATTGCAGCATGACCATTCTCCTTCAGGGATGATTTCTCACTTTCTGACTCTCTTTCTCTCTCTCTCCAGCGAGTATCTGTGCCCTACAGTAAAAGTCTCTCTCTCTCTCTCAAAAAGAATAAGAAGAAGAAGAAGGGAAGAAGGAAAAGGAGAAGAAAAGAAGAAGAAGAAGGGAAGAAGGAGAAGGAGAAGAAAAGAAGAAAAGAAGAAGAGGAAGAAGAAGAAGAAGAAGAAGAAGAAGAAGAAGAAGAAGAAGAAGGAGAAGAAGGAAAGCTCTGGACAAACTGGACTGGCCACTTGAAGGCAGGATAACAGCAACAGAATGGATCTATAACTTTGTCAAGGGAAACTGCTGCCAGTCCTCTGAGGCCACTGAGAGTCAATAGGACCTTGCAATTCCAGAGGCCACAGTTTCTGCTATCCCTAAGCGTATGCCTCGATGAACACTGTAGGCCCCTGTAGCAGAAATGCCTGGGAGAAGCCAGAAAAGACAGATATGCTGATTTTGTACAAATCCAAGCACCTTCTGCTGGGGCCCTGGAGTCTTTGCACCCACTAAGTGGCTGTTGGCTCACTAATCCTGCCATCCTCGTGGATAAACCTTCATGGGTTTTGTCTACGCTATGTGTCCCTACCTTCTTGGTCATTCCTGACGGATCCAGGAGGGAGCCCGATTTTGGCTATGTCCCTCACATTCACTGCCCTTGATCTTGGAGGCAAAGGCCTCGGGGAGCTGAATCATGACAACGTCAGCACATCAGAGAGGTGGTTGGCAAAGCTCTGCTGAGTCCACAGATCTGCCCTTAGCTTCTGCTCTTTTCCAGCCTTGGGGTAGCTTTTCCTTTATATCCTGTGGGATCCAGAAATAGTTCCCTAATAAGTATCCCCTTTTGTTTAAGCTAGCCACATGGGTTTCTCTCATTTGCTACTCAAAGAAATGCAGATTTTAGAATTCCAGAAAATGGGCATCCTGTGTGGGTTAAAGGAGATGATGTGGTCGAGGTTACCCACCCAGTACCTGGACAAAGCAGGTCCTCTGTATGCTCAAAGTACGCTCCATTCCTCTTTGCCCTTACCTTCTCCTTGGGAGAACAGAAGCCAGACTACTCTGGAATATCATCCCACTGTTTCAGGATCCTGCAGCCCTCTGCCCCCTCTCATTTACATGCCTAATGCAATTTCTGAGCATGATAGATAGTAAGCCCGGCTATAAATTCTAGGAGATTTATGATATTCCCTAGTTTTATAGATCAGGGACCATTTTTTATAAATCCATGCTTTTGCTGAAAAACTTAATAAGCCATTGTCTAGGCAACAGAATTTCCCTCAATTAGATTTTAAGACTAATATGGAAGGAACCTTCCCCCTTTCTTGCCAGCAATATTAGGTAAGGCCATAAGTTCTGATCAATTACTTGGTGCCTCTTGGGGAACTTCAAACTGAGCTCCCTTTTGCAGCAACCTTGCTTCCTACCTTCTGCTCTGGGGTTGGCATCTTGTTTAGGCAGTCGAGGTTGCTCATGGAAAGAGCCCTCAGCCAGAGTGAAGTCCAGGCATTGTTCATACAGAGAGGCCCCCATAGGAGGACAGTTCCTATGGAGAACGAGTCACTCATCAGGGTCTGGCCATCAGCCATGTGAGCTCAGAAATTCAATTTTTTAAGTCTCAGAAATGATTGGATGCTTGAATACACATAACAACTGAGGAACCTGAGCACAAATCAGAAAGAAAATGACTAATTTCAAGCAGCCTGGAGGTTCACATCTGCTGGGTGAGCACAGTTTGTCCTGAAAAGCCTTGTTAAGTCATCCCACAGTGGCTCAGACTGAGTGTTGTAAGTTAGAACTGGCTCCAGGCTTCCCAGGGGAGAGGGTGGGTGCACCCATGAGCAGTCTCTGTTTCTCTCATTGCAGGTTTCCCTGGTTGATCAACACCCATTGACAGACCTAGTTTCTCTGAGAACGGTTGATTCCATTGCAGGCCTGGGGCTTGTCTCTGAGCCTCTGTATTTTCACTACCTCCAGCACGAACTGATGTCATGGGTTGCCTTTGAGGATATCCCTAATTCCCTTCTTTCCATACACTTGGGAGACTCTTCTAGTTGTTCTTATGTGGATAGGTCTTAATTTTGACTCTTCTTAAGGGTGGGCAGGAGGAGGGAGTTAAAGTTGATTCAGATCTCAGAGTGGTGACAGGACAATGGAGGCACCATTTTGAGAAGAGCCGTAATAACAAGTCACTGTTGATGGAGTGCTGTGTTACACACCTTGGAATCGTGAGCTCATTTAACCCTCCCAAAGATCCTATGAGGAAAGTTCTAGAATATTTCCCAATTGGCTGAATGATGAATTCTATCAATGAACTTATTTTGTTTAATTATTTAGTTTTAATTGGCCAGTGTTAATTTTGTCTTTATAGCAGCATTTAAACAAAATATTCAATATCTTTGTTTCTACTTCCCACTGCTGCTGCTGGAGTCTGAAGATGAAGCAGAGAGATGCAATAGAATAGAGAGGAATGTGACATATTCTTTAATAAGAGAATTCTTATGAGCACATTCTTCACTCATGTTTTCTTATTCATGAGGATAATGTATGTATAAGAACATTCATATTCTTTTTTAGGTATCCTCCTGCCTACCCTGCTTCTCTTTAGTCCCGTTCCCTCCTGTCTCTTTCTCCCGGCCTTTCCTGCTCTCAGCATTTTGGTGTCCAACTGCAGCCTCAGAGAGCCAGGGCAGACACACTTGAATATTCTGTAAAATCTTGTTATGGAGACTAGGTGAAAACTGGCCAATGAAAATGGGATACTTTAAACAATCGAATGATTTAGTGACTTGATCACTTGGCTGTGAGTGCTTTAGGCAAATTAGCCTAAAGCCTATTATTATTATTATTATTATTATTATTATTATTATTATTATTATTATTTTGGAGAGCTTTTCACTATAGGGCGCGTGCACTCGCCAGACAGACAGAGAGACAGAGAGAGACATAGAGACCGCACACAAGAAATCACACCC